GGCGCCTGTAGTCCCAGCTACTCGAGAGGCTGAGGCAGGAGAATGGCATGAACCCGGGAGGCAGAGCTTGCAGTGAGCAGAGATCGCGCCACTGCGCTCCAGTCTGGGCAACAGAGCGAGATTCCGTCTCAAAAAAAAAAAAAATAGAACCACTACTAGATCACACATGACTGCAATCTTCCCACCTATGGGCGCTCATGTGAGGTGGCTGGCCAACAATGAAGCAACTCTGCCTAATTATCATCCAGCTACCAAACAGTGAAACCAGATATTTACAATGCCCCCTTTCCTCTAACCTCCCCAAGTCAGACTACTCTCTCCTGTTCTCTTCTGCCTCCACCCAACCCCTCCTTTCCAGGAAGCCCTCTGCAGCCACCTTAGTCTAGCCCAGCCCACACAGATCTCTTTTAACCCTTAGCCTACAATGTCTATACTGCCTGATTTTGCACATCATTAAGCCTGTACATTATGTTGTATTTAATATTCCCTAAATACATGTGGCCTTACAAAACGTTGACTTCTTCAGTAGCCCTAAGTTCCTTCCATAGTGAAAAGCAAGCAGTGAGCACCCATTATTTTGACTTATAAATTGAAAAACTGATTAAGTTAAGGTCCCTGACTCAAATTTCCTAGTCTAGTTCTACTAATAACCCACCAAGAAACCTCTAATGCCTTTCTGGATGCCAGTTTCCTCATATGTAAAAATAGGTAGAGTGAACTAACTGATGTTTCTATCTCTTAACCTTTGAATTAGGCAGCTGCTTTTCATCTCAAGATCTGAGAAACATTACAAAGAAACTGTAAAGCCTCCCCCAGCTCTCCCAGGCAGGGTTAGTCACTTACTCCTCTGGGCTTCCCACAGCTTTCTGCATGTATATACAATACCTCTATTGCAGTATTTATCAGAAAGTTTTGAGAGTGGCTAAAGTAGAGGTAGAGAGAAGAATCAGACTGCCTGGATTCAAATTCTGGCTTCCTTATTATTTGTGTAAACATGGGCAAGTTATTTAACCTCTCTATGATTTAATTTTCTCACCTAAAAAATGGGGATAACATAACATAGGATGGTAATAAGAATTTAATAAAACAAGATGTTTAAATAGTGCCTGACATGTAGCAAGCTCTAAAAGAGTTAGGTGCTATTATTATCATTGATGTTATTGTATTAATCTGTCCTACAATTAGGTTCAGGCTTTAACTAAATCTCTGTTCCCCTCTCATTCTCCATGATAGCATCCTGTTTTATGTTTTCTTCCATGCCACTTTCCACAAGATAATATATTTATTTATGTGTTTATTATCTGTCAAATCAACAAGACTGTAACTTCCATGAAGGAAGGAACATGTCTGTTTTGTTCATCCTTAAATCCCCACAGGAACATATTACCTGGCCCAGAGAAGGCACTCAAATATTAATACTTGTTTAATAAATACCATATTAGCTGGCATTGTTCAATGTTTGCTGAATCAATTAACCTAGCTAAGGGTGATTGTCAAAACTGAGGCCTGGGAGCAGATTATATCCTGGCTACCCCAGGCTTAGTGTGTCCCTCTCCCCAGGCCCCAGTATTAGCTTCAGCCAAGCCCCACCTACCTGTTCTTGGCCCTAGCCCAGTTCCGGGAGCCAACCTCAGCTAAAATTAGCATAGCTACCAAGATGGCCAGGCCATTTATAGCCTTGGAGGCAGCAGCAGCAACTAGCTGGGGATGGGAGGCAGGGTTCGGGCCTGCCACTCCATCAGAGGTTGATTGAGAAGCCAGCCTGCACTCTGCACACTGCCTAGATGCCTATCCTCCAAGGTCCTGTCCTAGCTACACTCTATCAAACCACAGTTCCTGATGAGAGGCCCTCGATACCTCCAACACTGGCAGCCACAACTCCAGACTCCACCTGAGGTCCCTCATGCACATTCTACAGAAACCATTATCGTTTTCTAGAGTCTAAGGGTGGTTCCAAGCATCTGTATTAGGCCAGCTTCAGAAACGCAAGCCCTAGAGTTGCACAGGCAGGCAGAGATCTTTACTGAGAAAGTGACTTAGCATGGCTGGGTGTACAGGTATTAAGGAGCCAGAAGGTGACAGGAATGGCCTCTCCACGGCCCAGTGAGAGATCCTCCTTGCAGAGCACCTGCCTTCACTCCAGGATCAGACTTTCGTAGTGTTTATTGTATGCATGCTAAAGCCATAAGCATTTTAACTAAATCATTCTTAGAATCAAATATTTTAACTAACTAAAAAGAGACAGATGGATATATACATCCAAAAGATAAAAAATCAAATTCTCTGGGCCCCTGCAAAACATTCTCCAGAGCAGAAAAAAAGTGTAGCTCTTTTCTTGGCTCTCAGCTACAGAGTCACTAGGGCCTGCCTAATTGTCAGAAGGAAAGCAACATTCTCTGGCCCTGCCTAGCACTCCTTTAACAGGGCAGGACCTGAGAAGATGGAAGAAATCCAAGACTTAAGCATCAGAAGACCTACCTATAAGAAAGACCAAGCACAGGACCAGGTTTCTTCACCCATAAAAGTGGGAACAATACCACCTGCCCTGCATTGTAACAGGGCTATTGTGAGACTGCTGGAAAAACAGCTGTGTAATTGTAAAATACAAACTGTAGAGAACACACAAATTGACTGGGTATGCTGAATCTGATTTTTAATAGTAGTAGTTTTAAGAGCAAGTAAACCTCCTCCTGTGTTCTGGGGATACAGAGAGGCTGGAAAGGATGCAAGAGTTCCTAGTTGCATAGAAAGTTTCTCTCCAAACTCTTTTGAAGATCCCAGTCTATATGAACCACCTCTTTGCAAAAATAAGTCCCTTTCTGAGTCAGAGACAAAACCCCAGGCAGACCCAAGGGGAAAAGCTACCATAACAATAGTGTTGGAACCTCCAGGTTTCCACAAACCTTAGACATTCACAGCACCTAAGGTCTCTCTGAGACTTTCCTCCCTGGAATTCACTATTATTGTGACAACATAAACCAGTTTCTAAACTGAGCAAGAGTAGGTCTAAGTGGTATAATCAGCATAGCTAGGCCTCTGAAATATATGCTGTGTGAAGAATTGTCTCCAAAAACTCAAGTCATGGGGTGGTCCTGAGGAAGGCTAGAATGCCTTTTACTTCAAGCAAAAAACAAAAAACAAACAAAACAACAACAACAACAACAAAAACAACCTTCCTAATAGCCAATGTCTAAAATTCAAAATTTCATCCCTTTAGTTTATGTCTAAAATATAGAACAGCCACTCCCCAAAAAATATTCATTTTATGTCAGGCACTCACATTTTGGAGTGAAAAAAGACATATTATCAGTTATCAATAGGAATGTCACAGGGATAGCAAGAGATGATAATTAGGTCTACTTCACAGTTCCATCTACATTTGCCCACTAGTCTTTCCCTTCATAGCCCAAAGAGAACCAAGCTTTGTGTCAGGTGTCAAGGGTCAAGGAGACTCTCTATGGAGAGACAGGATTAATAGGCAAGAAGAGCCTATCTAGAAAGCAACAGCCAGGTATCCTACTTACAATATGGGCAACCCTGGCCTCATTTGGAAACTAGTCCCCTTGGAACATCTGGAACTTAAAAAGGTATTGCCCAATAAAGGGTCTACCACCAAAGCCAGCTTCTGGATCCATCCATGAAACTCCCCAGCCACCATGACCTATTATTTCCTTTTCTTACTTGTATCAGCAGGTACCCACTGAGACATCCCCTCATTTGAACTTGCTTATGCTCAGAAACAACTCATCTATAAACTCTCCCCAACTCTGCAGGTCACAGCTTTGGGCAGATCACAGCCAAATAGTGAGAGAAATGAGAAAAGAGAACTGATCTTCTAAGCCTTATGTAAAATGACTGGATTTTAACAGAGTTCCTTGATGGGTACAGTGGCTCACATCTGTAATCCCAGCACTTTGGGAGGGATCCCTGCACAACACAGAGAGACCCTGTCTGTACAAAAAATTAAAAATAGAAAGAAAAAAAAAAGTTAGCCAGGCCCAGTGGCTCTTGTGTTTAGTCCCAGCTACTGGGAGGCTGACACAGGAGGATGACCTGAACCCAGGAGTTTCAGACTGTAGTGAGCTGTGATCACACTACTGCATTCCAGCTTGAACGACAGATCAAGACCCTGTCTCAAAAAAAAAAACAAAACAAAACATAAAAGTGTTCCTTTCTACTGCAAAAGTATACCAGGGTTCCTGCTGCCTGATAAGCCTTCACAACTGCATAGGAAAAACCATGACAGATCAAAAGTAGCATGGTTTCCCTAGCAAGCAGACTTGGGGGGGTGGGGGCGCGGTGGAGGCGAGGGGAACTGTAGCTGGAATTCCCACCCTCATCAGTCAGAAGAAACAGAATAAGCAACAAGTGGTCCCAGGAATTATATCATGTCTATGTCAAGAAAAGGCCATTTAACACCCTAGTGGTAAATAGGATTCCATCTAAGGAACCGTCTGGATATTTCAAATGCACACAGCAAAGAGACAAGACTACCTAAGGGAAGGGTGGGACTAGGGTTCCCACGGTTGTTGGAATAGGTACACCTGAACACCAGGCTTTCAGGCAACAGAGTTGGCCCAGCCTTAACTTTCCCTTTCCAACATAAGTGGCCCCAACTTCCCCCATGCTGCTCAGTACTAAAACTGACTAGGAGCAATGAACTTATCATCTCACCAGGCCATTCTTCCAGACAAGTAGGCCTAAGATGGGGTCTTTCCTTGCTGATCTAAAAGGTCAAGTTGCCCCAAAGGCTTCTTATTACTGTCAAGAAAAAAAAAAATCCTGAGGGGTTGATGAGGAAAGTTGTTCAGGAAAGATAGAGACATTTGCCATGACTACTGAGCAGAAAGAACTTCTTGGACTACCTGGAACAGGCAGTGCCATGTGTGGATCCTCCATGAACCTCACATGTACAAACCTAGATTTCAACTTGCCCTCTTCGGGCCACTCAGTTCTAAGCCAAAGCCTACAGCCCAGTCCAGCCCACAGCAAGGCCTTACCTGCTGCAGTGGACTCCTCAGAGTTGGCCCCCGAGCTGGTTCCTGTCGCCTTCTCACTGTGAATATGGCTGAGGCTCTGACCCTGGTGCAGGAGGAGTCCCCAGAGGAGCCACAGGGCAAGACGGACGCATACATCCATGACTCTAGGTCTCAGTCAACATGCGTCTGATGTGGACACCTCGGGATCCCAAAGGCAAAGCCAGGAGCCCGCGAGTGCAGCCGACGGTCTCCAGGCAAGATGCCCTCGCGGCTCCGCAGCTGTCCAGCCACTCGCAGGCCTGCCCCCTCCAACAGCCAAAGGTCAAGTGCTCCAAGTTTGAGTGCGGGAGGAGGGCTGGCTCCTCAGGTCCAATAGTGGGTCCGCCGGGGCTGCGGCGGCCTGAGCTCGTGCGGCTTCCGGAGACTTTGGGCAGAGTGGCTGCGGGGCTGCTGTCAGCTCCGCAGCTTACTACACCCCTGCGGGAGGGGGCGGCAGGAGTCTCCGCGGGCACAGGAGTGGGGGAGGAAGAGCAGAGAAAAGAGGCAAGAAGGGGGCACCTGACCTCGCCCTGCCGAAGAGCGGCTAGCAGCAGAAGCTGGGGAGGGCGTGCGACCCGCAGGGTCCTGAGGGCGCAGGCGTCTCCAGGATCCTGGGCCTCCTAGGCCGAGGTCAGCGCCCCCGCCCAGTCCCGTGCCCAGGCGGCTGGCGGTGCCCAGGTCCAGCAGGCGGACGCACACCGGCCAGGCCCAGGACAGCTGCTCCCAGGCGGGCGGGCGACGCGGGGCGGGCCCGGGGCGAGCGGGGGCGTGCTCTCCCGCCGGCCCGCCCCGCGCCGCCCGGCCCCCAGTGAAGCCCGGGCCCGCCCCAGCGCCCGGCTGGATCCCGGAATAACCGGTGAAGACGGCTCCCCGGAGCCCCCAGCCCCCAGCGGGCTCTCCCGGACCCCCAGCCCGCGCTAGTCTTTGCCAGGACGCCCCTCCTGCGCAAAGGATCAAGTCCCAGCTTCCTTTTCCCCCTCCAGAGTCTCCAGCGCCAACTGCCGGCCCGCAGGCGGGTCCCTGACCCGCAGTTACTCAGGTAACTCAGGCCTGCGGCGGCGGCGACAACACCTGCCCTGCCCCGATCTCCGGGCCGTGGTGCTGCTCCACTCGCCTCAGTTCTAGAGGCGGTCTAAACAGAGACCCAGGACACAACGTTAGCCTCCCAGGAGCCGCCTGAGGCGACAACAGCCCAGCCCGGCTCGGCCAGGGGGCGAGCTCCCAGCCCCCAACTCCCTGGCAGTTCCCAGGCTCCGCCCTCCCGCCTCGCCTGACAACCAATCGACTTCCGCCTCTCTGCGGCTCAGGAACCCGCGCGCTTCGTCGCCCGTGCGCAGCGGCCCCTGGTGGAAACATCGGCGAACTGCAGACAGGACTTGCGCTCCTGGGAGGGCCTGCTCTTTTGCAGAGGGTTGGAGAGTAAAGCTAAGACCCGCCCCGGGGGAGGCCCACTAGGGCCACTGGGGCCTGCGAGTGTTTTCAGAGGAAATGATGATGCCAGAAAGCAAAATGAAATGTCCAAACCACTCTAGCTAAAATTCCCTTACACATTCCTTGAGTCTGGGCTAAAGGGTGCCATCTGCCTTCCTGACCCCACCTCCCCTCCCCTCCAAGCTAAGTGTGATGCCCTCCCTTAGCTCTCACAGCCTGTTTTCCTACCTGCCCCTCAAGCTCCCAGCCCTTTAAGGTTTTTCGGTGGGGCCCGTAAATGATTCCTCCCTGCATCTCATTTTCCCAGCTACCTCTCTGGTGGAGGAGGTGTCAGCGACTTGAGAGTGAGTGCGCCAAAGAAGAGAGAGCCACGCCTGAGCCTCCTTCAACAAAGCCTGCACTTCCTGTTCTTTTCTCAAGCGTGCTGTCAGCAGATCTTGACTGAAACCTCTGTGCCCTACCCTGTCCTTGGCACCAGAAGCAGGGGAAGGGATTAGGCCCAGTCCCTCCTCTGACTGACAGTGCTAAACCAGCTACCTGTTCTGAGCAAGCCCTTTGAAGACTGGGAATACGGATTTGCCCAACAGCTGCCTGGCTTAAGGGTTAGGCCGTTGATATAAAAATACGTAGCTAACGTCACCTACTACCACTCCCCCGGCTCTATTAAGCTCCTGTCACACTAGCCTTCATTAAGTTCCTAAACACGTCAAACTCAGCCACCTCACGGCCTTTGTATCTGCTGTTGCTTCTGCCTGAAACACTCTCCCCTGCTCCAAAGTTCCTCATGTAGCTGTTCTCTCATTCTTACAGATATAGCTCAATGTGTCTCCTTAGAAACTTTTACTCTGCCCACCCCTTCAAAATCAGTCTGTGGCGAAAATTGGACCATACACCTGTCTGCCCCTCCCCCAATAGGTAGTGATTGCCACTCTTCAGGTCAGAGGCTGTGCCTCATTCATCTCTGTTACACTAGGACCCAGCCATAGACCCTGAACATGGTAAGTGCTCTGTAAAAGCTGGATGACATGAGTTAATTCACTTGAACACTCAGATACTAAAAACTAACACTCAATACCGGAATATTGGAAAATTGACCAGAACAGTTGAACCCCGACCTAGGTTCTCCTAGACCTATTCCCTGAGCCAGGGGTCTTAAATTCAAATGACAAAGTGGGCAGGTAGGTAATACAATTAAGAAAAGTAGGTAGGAGGCCGGGTATGGTGGCTCATACCTGTAATCCCAGCACTTTGGGAGGCTGAGGCGGGTGGATCACGAGGTCAGGAGATCAAAACCATCCTGGCTAACACGGTGAAACCCCGTCTCTACTAAAAATACAAAAAAATTAGCCGGGCGTGGTGGCGGGCGCCTGTAGTCCCAGCCATACGGGAGGCTGAGGCAGGAGAATGGCATGAACCCCGGGAGGCAGAGCTTGCAGTGAATCGAGATTGCGCCCCTGCACTCCAGTCTGAGGGACAGTATAGACTCCATCTCAAAAAAAAAAAAAAAGAAAAGAAGAGAAAAGAAAAGAAACGTTGGTAGGAGTAATAGGGAATGGTGGGGATTATGGAGAGCAGGCAGAAAGGTGAGCCTAGTATTGCTAGAATGTCATTAAGAGAAGATGGGCTGGATGCAGTGACTGATACCTCTAATTCCAGCACTCTGGGAGGCCAAAGTGGGAGGATTACTTGAGCCCATGAGTTCACGACCAGCCTGGGAAACATAGTGGGACCCCCATCTCTACAAAAAAAATTTTTTTAATTAGCCATGAGTGGTATCTGGCATCTGTGGTCCCAGCTACTGAGGAAGCTGAGGTGGGATGATCGCTTAAATCCAGGATCTCAAGGCTGGAGTGAGCCATGATCACACCACTGGACTCCAGCCTGGGCAATGAGCAAGACCCTGTCTCAATTTAGAAAAAAAAGAGAGAGAGAAGATGGAAATCTGGACTTTCATATGACATATCCTTTTTAAAAAAATATTAGCAATGCATGTAAAAGAATAAAACCTTATATAGGCCACAGAAAACATGTCTGCAGCCCAGATTAATCACTCAGACTGACAGTTCATCATTTCTACCTAAGCCAGCTCTCCTGCCTATGCACTCATTTGCCTAAGAGAACATGAAAGAAATGAGCAAAGTAAAGCATGTTTAACACAATTTCCTTCAAACTCGACTACAGCATTTCTTTTCACCACCACATGATTTCTTCGGGGTTATGGGTGCTTATCTATTTGGTACAACAAATAGGTCTTGCAGGCAGGAAGCCAGGGTCTGTTACCAATTTACACCAAGATCTTAAACCTCTTGGAGCCTGTCGAATTTCCTGTGATGCTAAAATGGTGTCTAAGAACTAAAAATAGTTACTGTGATGCACCAATTTCAATTCTGGGTGTACACCCAAAAAATTAAAGCAGGGTCTTAAAGAAAATTATACACCCATGTTCATAACAGCATTATTCACAACAGCCACAAGGTGAAAGCAACCCAGGTGTTCATGGATGGATGAATGGATAAACAAAATATGGTGCATAGGTACAATGAAATACTACACCGCCTTAAGAAAGAAGGAAATCCTGACAATGCTCCAACATGGATGGACCTTGAGGATAGCCAGCTAAGTGAAATAAGCCAGTCACAAAAGGATAAATACTGTTATTTCATTTATATGAATGTACCTAAAACAGCCAAATTCATAGAGACAGAAAGTAGAGTAGTGGTTGCCAGAGACTGGGGAGAGGGGAGAGCTGGAAATAGTTTCAGTTTTACCAGTTGAAAAAAGTTTTGGAGATTGGCTGCACAATAATATGAATGTACTTAACATGACTAAATTGTACACTTAAAAATGATTAAGATGAGGCTGGGCGCAGTGGCTCACGCCTGTAATCCCAGCACTTTGGGAGGCCGATGTGGGCAGATCACAAGGTCAGGAGATCGAGACCATCCTGGCTAACACGGTGAAACCCCGTCTCTACTAAAAACACAAAAAATTAGCCAGGCGTGGTGGTGGGCGCCTGTTGTCCCAGCTACTCGGGAGGCTGAGGCAGGAGAATGGTGTGAACCCAGCAGGTGGAGCTTGCAGTGAGCCGAGATTGCACCACTGCACTCCTGCCTGGGCAACAGAGCAAGACTCTGTCTCAAAAAAAAAAAAAATAAAAATAAGATGGTAAAATGTATGTTATATATTTTTTAACCACAATTAAAAATAAAAATAAATAACTGGGCACCAGAGCTCACACCTGTAATCCCAGCACTTTGGGAGGCCAAGGCCAGCAGATCACTTGAAGTCAGTGATTTGAAAACAGCCTGGCCAACATGATGAAATCCCATCTCTACTAAAAATACAAAAATTAGCTGGGCATGGTGGCACGTGCCTGTAACCCCAGTTACTCAGCAGGCTGAGGCAGGAGAATCACCTGAACCTGGGAGGCAGACAGCCAAGATCACACCACTGGACTCCAGCGTTGGTGACAGAGTGAGACTCCATCTCAAAACTAAAACAAAATAACAAATAAATGGTACCTGGGAGCCGAAGCCACAGCCTAGGCAACAGGAAGAACATTCTGGTGTCTTCTCTGCCTCCAAGATCACGATGTGACACTAGAAAAGTCAGTTCCCCTCTGAATTTCAGTCTCTCCAACTATAAATTGGTCAGCTACCAGATTATTGACCCTGTGCAGCCTTAATATTCTACAAAATAAAAAGATTCTGAAACCTGATGGATCTTCCTGGATCAGAAACTGTGACCCTCATCTCTATAGCCCCTATGCTTCATCCTTCTAAAAATGTGACCCTTGCAAGAACCCAGGTATGTACTAGGGCTTGCACCTAAAATCCTAACACTTTGGGAGGCTGAGATGGGAGGATCACTATAGCCCAGGAGTTTGAGACCAGCCTAGGCAACATAGTGAGACTCTGTCTCTACAAAAAAAATACAAACATTAACTTGGCATGGTGGTGTGTCCCTGTAGTCCCTGCTACTCAGGAGGCTGAGCCAGGAGGATGGCTTGAGCCCAGGAGGTCAAGGCTGCAGTGAGCTATGATTGCCACTGCACTCCAGCCCGGGTAATAGAGCAAGAATCTGTAGAAAAAAGAAAGAAAGAAAAAAAAAAGGACCCCTCACCATATTGTAAGCCTCAGGAGGAAACAGAGAGCTTTCTCCCATCTCTCTTTTTATACCTATGCAGTATATCTCCCTTGAATTAATCTTAGGGCCTTGCTTAGATGTTCTGAAGTTGTTGGCTAAATCAAATTGGATTAACTAATTCTTATGCCTCTATTCCACTATTTGC